GAGATGGAGCGTTTCGGAGGTGTCGAGGGGGTGAAGGAGGCCCGATAGAGGTAGAGAGAACTGGCCTCGGAGTACCTTAAGGCTAGACGCGGCGGCGGCGGCCGAGGGAACGAAATGGGCGCGAACGCGGCCGTGGAACAAAGAGAGGCGCGGAGAAAGAGAGAAAGAGAAAGCGAGGCAAGAGACGGATAGAGAGAAAGAAAGAGAAAGAGCGCGAGAAGGCGAGAGAGGAGAAACGCTCTTGAGATTCAGGTGTTGATGACCAGACACCGCGCCAGCGCGCGAAGCAGCAACGAAGAAGAAGGCGGCAGAAGCAACGCGCGCTGGCGGTGGCTGAAGGCGGGATGCCTTTCATCTTTTCATCTTTGTCTTCTACCTCCGAGGCTCTCTCGCACATCTTTCCGGCCGAAGCGCGCGGCCTAGAGGCGGCTTCCTCGGCCCGACGCCTCGATGCACATCTGACCGAAAACCCCGCAGCGAGAGCTCTCCACGAGTTCTACGCGTTTTCTAGGTGCCGATTTCGGCGTTCTTCTGACGGGGAATCGTCAAACGAGGCGGCCTCGGGAGCCAATTTTATCATGTCAAACACTGTGGTAGCCGCTACCGAGCCGCGCTACAATACTAACGCACGCAATCACATATAAGATCCAAAAAATCGAAATTACAATCGTATCGCAACTGCAAAACTGTAATTTTTCAGATTAATTTGTGAAATATTTTAGAAGTAGAATTCTGAAGCATAAGAAACTATATTGAAATACATGAGTATAAAATCTTTTCAATTTTTACACGTGCGGTTTTGAACTTTGAGCAAAAGACTGGTACAAGTTTTTATGTTCAAAGATATAGTCATTTTTTTTTATTGCCATCGATACGATTATTGTCAGTGAAAATCAGTTGAATAGAAGAAAGTGTATACATTTACTTATTTTATACCATTTATTTACAAATGGAAGAAAATCATAAAACTCAAAAATTTTAGGGGCAATGCATCTGGTTGCAAAATGGTTATATCGTATTTTACAAGAAATCATTGATGAATCAGACAAACCTGAGCGTAAACTTGGATTAAACGTGCTGCGGTTCACGAGGGGAGTTCTCTCGCGTATTCAAAGTGGAAAGAACCCCGCGAGTGAGAGCGTACTCGTAAAGGATACTCGCGTTACGCTACAAAAGATCGAGAGGTTGGCCGTGGCGTGCCGTGGCGAAATTAGCCGAATTCTCCTTCTCCGTCAGATCATTTGAGGTTTCCGTTGCTTCCGTTGCGCCTTTTGTTTACTCGCGAAAGCGCAACGAACTCTTCGCGCACAATGCGGATCCGATATACATGCATATCGGACATGGAACTTAAGCACGCAGCGCGACGTAAGGCTGCTCCAAATGATATTAAGCAAATTTCGAGACCGTGTTAGACTTTGGTGAGGCTGATACAGCTGTAATTGATTGCGAAAATGTTGTAACATGACAACGTACGACACAAAATTGATCAAAGATCATTCAAATAAATAAAAGCATAAATAAACGCAAAGATATTTTTAATTTTTCAATTATCAAAATTGATTTTCTCAAGAACAAGGTTTTATATAAAAACATTTTGTCGTATGTCTTACACTTATTTTTGCGTATGAAATTATGTTTCCTCAATTACGGAACACTATATATTCTGCCGTATATAATGTATTCAAATATATCACGCAATTGCTTGCAACATGTAACATTAACATTCGTAAGAAATTCCTATCGATACTTTTCAACAATTTCTTCACTTGATTTGCCCGAAAATTAGATGTTGCGGAGACCACCAGTAATGTCCTGTTATCTAGAACACCCTTTATACTGGCATTCGCCTAGTAACGAGTAAGGTTTCGTCGATTTGTACAATGTATCGCGCACCGAGCGTTATCATCGAGTCACGTAGCGCGGCCGCGTTGCTTTCAATAAAAGATGAACAGGTATATAAGGGTAGGAAAAGAGTAAGGAGCGAAAAAGAGCGAAGAGGCAACGAGAGGACTGAAGGTAGAGACGAAGGTAATTTCATTTGTCCCTTTCTATCCCTCGCGCGCGGCGCGGCACGTACGCCACCACGCAGCTTCGATCCTCCGACTTCGTCGTTTTTCTTCGCAGCGGCATGAATTTGCTCGGAGCCTTGTTAAGTCCTTGCTTTCGGGCCGCGTTATAATGGCGCAAATAATGATCCGAGCGCGCGCAAATGCGCACTCGTAATCCACCGCTAATCTAATCGGCTAAACGATTCAACGTTGATTTTTCGATCCTTCTTCACGTGTTCCTATCTCCGTAACATTTGCGTACGCGATTTATTTTTTATTTTTTTTCTTAAGTTATTTAAATAGCACACATTTGTATCCGCGTACATGGAGAGAAGGAACGAAAGGAACGGATATCACACTGCTGCGGTGTTCTTACTGAATATTTTACGGCGTGTACACGGTCGGTGCACGCTAAATCGAACCGCTAGTTGACGTAAACCGGACTACTACAGCCCAGGTGACCTCTTAGGCGAGAGACTATACCTATCTACCAACTTGTTTGCCGAGCGCTAGCTTAACGAGCTTTATTAACGATAATCGATTCGCGCAGTTGTAGAGCGTAACGATTGATCGTACGAGATCGATGTACCGTTGCCGTTGAATTCTATCGCGACTGCTCTATCCATAAATCGTTCTCAATGGAACGTAATAATGGCGCTCTATCGTGTCTCCATTATTTAACCGCTTATGACGGTTGCCGATCTTGATCTCGTATACATATATATATATACTTGTATATTTTTCGATACCGGTTTACTTTACTCGCGGTCACCGTTGGCTTGAAATCGAAACGCAAGATTTTTATCACGCTAATTCTCGTGGCGAGTTTAAGAATTTTTTGATATATCTGTAGAATATTTAGCGTGCTTGTAGAATTAACAATTTAGAGTGCGAATGATATCATCATTAAAACTGCAATAAATTACATCGCAAAATGATTAACATGAATGAAAGAGTGAGCGAAAGATCGACCAAGGTAATTTTAATATTTCAATAATTGGAGAACGCTGCGACATTTTGCGCTGACAAAATAATAATTACGATAAAGTTATTGAGAAAAGACGGCGATGCATATCATCGTAAAATTATTAATCATCATTAATTATGCTCATAAGAGAGGTTTGAAAATATTACGAAAATATTACGGATGTGCTTGAGTCATAAATAACTTTCGCCGCGTTAACAAGTACTTATCTAAGAGAAACGGAAGTTATTTATGACTCAACCTAATATTATCCGTCGCAGAACTTGGCAAATATTTCTAAATTTCATTTAATTGAATCTGTCAGGCACAAAACGTGTGAGACGTTTTCAAGCCTCGTCACTATTTAGCGACCGTCACTTACGACACAAGAAGAAAGAGCATTGATATAAAGAATTATTACATTCTTTCACACTCTCTATAGATGTATCGCGGGACGCAACGAGACCCACCAACGAGCGTGACTCGCTGAGGTAGTCCTTATTAAATCTTCCCCCGTCCCCATTAGAGGCAGAAATTACGGATAATCCTTTTTATTACGCACACTACGTGGACTCTCATGGAAAGAGAGCGCAGAAAGGCAACCGGTACGTTAAAAAAAAGTCAAGATAGGTCGCAGCCACGGTTCGACGCGGCATGGTGGTCCGCGCTTCCCATTCCCGACAACAAAGCGCTTTTAAACAATCTCCATTGTGCCCGTAATCCCGAGCCATGCGTGAAATCAACACGTTTTTCCACTTAATTGACAAACACACGCCTCTCCGTCCGTGTGTTCCCGACGAGCGCCCACCAAACATGATTTATAATAGTTATGTATCTTGAGTATAACGAGTAATACGTAACAATGTTTATACGCGTTTAACTGACATCCATTTCATATTAGAAACGATTACTTTTTTGCGACAGAAAAAAATGACGTCTTCTAGATTTTAATCAGTTGAGAATATTGTGGTGCCAGAAATATTGAGATTTATTTTCAAGAATTTGGAATATTTTCAGAGTTGCGCTCTTTTGAATATTGATTGGGCTGGTTTTTCGCATAATTGCACTTTGTATGAAAAATTCATTTTTAAAACTGTGAGTGATCGAAAACTCGCCTTGATGTTAACAGCTTTGTGAATTTGTTTCTCATCATTGTTACGTAGCATTTTTACAAGTACTATAGATCTAATACCGCGAGTTCATGCATGAAAGAGATTGAAATGTGTTTAAAACTTGCAAGTAATAAACGATAACTTGGTCACGATAAATTGTAACAACGTTTGAGCCTTTTGGTGCGTATAAGCTATGTAGGTGTACAAAAAATACAATATACGACAGTTTTTTTGCCAATGACGTGAGGGTAAAATAAATAGAGGAATGATCAGTATTGGTAAGAGTAAAAAAAACAACACTCATCTATATGTATCGTTGGTCTATGTATATATACAATAATTTATTTCGCTACGAATCGTTTCTACATTTACAAATCGTTTTTGCTCGAGCAAGTACGAGTACAGAATATAGATGGATGCGTTAACGCATGAATGTAACGAGCAGCCTCTTGCTTCAAGAAATACAAGGCTTTGAATAATTGAATCGACAGTACGCAGGGAATCGCATTTGTTGGCATTCCGCAAAAATCTGGATAACGACGCAGCTTTTGTGATGAGATTTTACAGATTTTATATCGAGACTAATTGAACATCTTTTATACAAAAGGAATCAAGCCCCTTGCTGTTTATTTCGGAAGTAAAATATAAACTTTCCAAATTTGATTTGGAGAAGAGTACAGCGATGTTTCATATCGTAAAAATAATTCACGATGTAGTAATGTAAATCTTAATCTACTCCTCGAACCAATGGTTTTCTTAAAATTTAATTGTTAATAAGTTAATTGCATTAAAACTATACATATATATTTACATATTTTACAGAAAGATAAATGAACAATATATGTGATGCATACTTGTTTGTTCATTATTCCATGATTTATCACAAAAGATAACAAGCAAATAGTGTGTCTCTATTAAATATTCCAAAAAAGAATCTGTAGACCAATTGGTGATAAAAGTCTGGCACTTTGTTCCTCTTGTATAAAATATTCCAACTAGACGTAGTTACACAATATAAAACTTAACTTCGGACAATTCATATTTTTATACATATATTACAGCCCTTTCAGTAAAACGTTATAAAATTTTACTCTGGCATTATACACTAGAGAGAATTATTCGTTAAATCAGAATTTAATTTAATTCCTGAGTTCTGACGTACTTTTTCCCAGAATAATATTCCAATATCTTTAAGTTTGATCAAACTAGGAAAAATCTCGCAACACAAAACCAAAATCTTAGCTGGCAGTTGATTCTATATTGCATAACTACGTCCAATTGAGTATTGTTGCTGCAAAACTCAACATCTACTGATCTACATATTTTCAGAAAACAAATTTTATCGATAGCTTTTATATCTACAAGAAGTAAAAAGTTGTACGATATTAGAAATAACTAAATTACTATGCCGATAATGATGCTAATTAATATTACGAGAGAAAAACTTTAAATTATATATACATTATAATTGTTGAGTTTTGTAAAAACAATTCTCAATTGGGCTTTAGAATGCGCGTATTGAGTAAATTTATTCAATCAGATTTTAAAAATTATTAGATTGCTTCTTTTTATTGAACTTATCAATTCAAAATTTAGAAAAAGGGATAAAAAAGGAAGGAAAAACATTTCTCTTCAGATATTCAGAAAAATTTAACATCGCTGTTACCGTGCTCGCGCCCGCGCCTGCTCCTAATCGTTTAGGGATCGTCTAATTAGATAATTACATAGGCGGAAGCCGCGACACGACTTCGTTTGAACGGTAAAAGTGCACGGCGTCGCGCGCCGTCGCCGATTTGGAGTGTCGCGATTGACAATAATCGACTGGTCGCCATCGCGCGCGTCATAAGATAGCCGTAGATTACGAGTGACTCTAGTTAACTGTTCGGACAGCTTGCAAGTTTCTCGAGACTAAGCCACTTTCGCGACGTAAACCGATATCAGCAAGCAAAGAACTCTCGAATGAGAAGACGGCGTTTTACCAAACGAGGAACTAACGTTATCTACAATGTCTCCTTATCTCTGCGTCGCGTCGATTCGCGGCGAATTGGACAGAGAGTCGCAACACGATTAACATCCGATCGATTGCGTCGCGATCGCGTCAAAAAGCACCCGCGATCATCTCATTTGAATTTTTCGTCGCGTTGTCATTAAATAAGACACTATCGTTTTGCAGCGCCGAAGAAATTTTCGCGGATCCTTTTTGGCACATTCCTACGAGTGCATTACACCCTCGCTTATCTAACAGAATCGGAACAGACTGCCTCGCGCACTTCTAACAAAACCGAGACTTCCTGCTTCGTACACGTGTATACACGAAATCAATAATATCACATAAAGTTGCAAACTTTGATTCCAGACATTTGCATTGTATCTAGATATTCGTGCATTATAAACGACTGTGTTTCACAATTTGGCATGTGTAACAAATTAGAGCTAACATGTTAACAATAGTTCAGATAATAAGTAAATTAATCAATAAAATGTAGTTTTATATTTTTCATCAATAATTACACACAAATGTGTCTAAATCGTGATGCGCGCGTCTCGATTGGCAAAATTTGATAACTTTATGTGATAAGAGATTATTGATTTTGTGTGCACAGCGAAAAAAATGTAGCACCAATCGGAATGAATCTTATCAATTCAACAATAGTTAAGCCAAGCACATGTCGCGTTGTTTTTTTATTTGATTAACACTGTTATCGGATTTAAAAAATTCACTCTATCGTTGATACATCCTTTTTCTCCCTCCGTCTCTCATTTCGTTAGAATAGCGACGGCGACTTTCCTCATTCTGTGAAGGATAGATGCGGTGGAGCACATAATCTCGCCGACGGTATAATTACGTCCGAGGATACGCGACGGAGACGTGCCGAAGGAACGCTCTGACTCTTTGAAACATCTCCCGCGCGTCTTTAAGACGTTTCTTGAACTTTTACGTTGTTCGAGCCGATCGAAGAGATGGGCAGAGTTCAAGTGGCAGTGCCATAGGACGGCCTCTGAACACCCGTGGTCGCGATCGACATCGAGTATCCAGCGTACAGCGGCCTCGGCACGAGGAGCGGGGACTTTTTCGCGATCGTCTCGTCGGACAGTCTCGAGGCCTCCTCGTCGCCGGCACTGGTGCAAATACCACCGCCACCGCCGCCGCCGTCGCCGCCACCCTCGTTATCGTCCGGCGCGATAATATTCTCAATAGTGAACGGTTTTTTCACCCTCTTCTCCGTATTAGCCGTAAGAACGACCGTCGCGGACGGGTCCTCGCGAGCTGAGGGCAACTGGGTGCGCTCGACCTCCGCCACCAGGTTGGAGATCGGCGAGAGGTGGCGATAGGGCGACTTGGTGACCGCAAGCGAATTCGGCGAGGTCGGCGACGTCGGCGGCGACGAAGCGGCGGAGGTCACGGCGGCGCCTCGATAGAGATTTATTCTGGACGACGAGGAGGTGGACGAGGACGACGAGAGCGGCTCCTCCTCGGCGAGCTTGTCGCGATTGTAGCCCGTTATCTCGTAAGTGTTCTCACCCGTGAAAACCGTCTCGCTTTCCCGGCCGGCGGCCACGACGATCGCCGATCCGTTCTCCAGCGCGCGGTCGCTCGACAGCCGGCGTTCCGCGTCCCGAATGTCCCGCGTCCCCGGATGGATGGTCGTTTGCCTGGTGGGGGCGGTGGTCTGCTGGAGATACGGTAGCTGCGACACCGCGTACGACGTGTGCGAGACCGCCGGGAAGCCGGGGAAGCTCCAGGAGGCGGCGGAGTGCAGCAGCGCGGCCGCCTCGTACGTCCTCAGGATCTCGCTGCCGCCGTCGGCGGAGGCGCCGCCCGCCAGTCTCTGCCTGACTTCGGGCGACAGTAGGTAGTATCCGGCAGTGACGGCTTCCGGCGCGGCCGGTCCGGTCGGCAGACCGGAAGCGCCATCGAACCGGCTGAAACCGACCGCGCCGGCGAAATGCTCGCCGGAATTCGAAGCGCTGGCGACCATCATCCGCCTCTCCTGTATCTCCCATCGGAGAAGATCGTCCCGCAGACGATGGAGATTCGCCAGGCTGAGACCGTTGCCGGGGCACGTCGCGCTCGCATCGACGATCCCGCCGGTCGACGCGATCGGTTGCTCCGAATGCGGCTGCGGCTGCGGCGGCGGTGGCGGCGGCGGCGGGGGCGGCAACGGCGGCGGCATCGCCGAGGCGAGTGCCTGCAGCTCGGACTTGAGCAGCTCCTTGTCCGGCTTGTGCAGCTTAAAGCGCTTCCGTCGGCGCAGCAACGAGCCGTTCTCGAACATGGACAACGCGGCAGGATGCAGCGCCCAGTAGGCTCCCTTTCCCGGCCGGTGCGGACCGCGCGGCACCTGAAATCCGGTCATCCGGTTTATCCGTTGTGACAGCACTGACTCATAATGAGAAACCCGATTCGGGATGAAAATATCAATAAAAGATATCGTACTTTGGTACTGGATTTTCGAGTGAAAGCGCATTATTAAGAAAGTAAAAGTTTCACGATTCTGTATTAATTGGAATATGATTTTAAACTCGTAAAATTCTATTTTCGAGAAGAAAAGTATTGTGTGATATAAATAAATCTTCTGAAATGTTTGCGATAAACTGCGATAAGCTTAGGTATTGCTCAAAGCTGAACAGTTAATAACACGTACATTGATATCACGCATTCATTGAAACTAATTTTGAGCCAGTTTAGAGACTTCGCACCAAGGCCGATTTCACTAAATCAATTATTCACTACCAGTTCTCCAAGCAATTACAATTTACATTTAGAAATTTCGCAAGAAATTCATAATTAATTTGCCATGTATAAACAGTCGGATCAACAATTCAATCTATGTCGAATAAATATTTAGATAATCGTAAATTAATTCACTATCAATTTTGAGTTGAATTAATTTATTTTTCACGAACTTTTTCGCAAATTTAACGTTCCCGAATTACAGAATTCTGTACTTATTCGAATCCGCACTTTGGTGTGCAAAATATCAGAAATGCCTTCGTTTCCGCAAGCAAGCATTCCACACATGAAGCATACTTTTCCAAATATTCGTGATAAACTGCGCGTGACGTTTCAACACGCAAGTGTTTAAATTTCATCTTTTGCTTTACAAAATTCAACACAAGAGTAAGAGAAAAGTGTAAAATAAATTATATAATATTCAGTTAAAAAGATTTTAATTAAACTTTTTAACGCGCGCGCGCGCGCGACAGTCGTGACGTGCACGAATATCATTATAAATCGCACAATATAAACATCGCTATAAATATCGCACGAATATCGGACACGATGCAAAAGATACCGAGCGATTGCGTATTTATATTGAACCTACGATTGATAGGTAAAAACAGAAACTTCAGTCATGTCAATTGGAGAACTCGAAATCAGTTTGAAACTAGGTCTGCACTATTTCTCCACGCTTTAGTGAATACGCGCTGTGGAGTGGCGCCTTAATTGATATCTCGATGAACGATCGGGACGGAGGATATACCGGGCCGTCGCGTAAAACGCTTGGAAACGACGCCCGGGACAATTACGCCGATTCTCGTAAAGCACCAGAGGCCGCTTGTATTACACACTCGGGTGGAGTAGCCCTGTGTTTTTTCCTCTCTCGATATCGCGTGGAAAGGCACCTAGCACCACGTCCACTACATTGTCGTCCCGACGATGGCCGATATAAGGCGCAAGTCTTAACGGCGATTGATGAGCTGTAGAGAACCGGGGCTTCATTACTTGCCAGGAACGAACAGGTTTTACATTTAATAACGCGAAACGATTATCTGCCGATCGGCTGAGTTAATTCGATCGGAAAGGCACAACCTGCTGCCGCGGACAGAGATCTCGCGGAGGAAATATATTACCATCGCTATTATTAGTACCACGCCTCGACGGAGAAAAGGTAGACGAGATCGGTCGAGCTGTGCGCCTCGCTTCTTTCGCGCCACACTTCTTTTCATCATTAGCCGCTACTTAAGATTTCGAGTTGCACGGGAGAGAAGGAAATACATTTCAACACTGTGGCAAGTTATTTAAGTAAATGATTTAAATACACGTTACACAAATTTTTTGAGTTTATCGGAAATGATATTTTTTTCGTTCATTAATGACTTTGCAAGACACCGAAAACTTTTTTTTTACTGCGCAACAAGCGGTTGCACTGAAATTGTTTAAATGCAATTCCTCCTTTCTCTTATATTTTGCGTAAATTGAGTGCGCGTTTCAGCATTATCGAAAATGTTTTCTACACAAGCATAATGCCTATGCATAATGTACAACATATTGTACTATATCTAGATTTGTGCTTTATAAAGTATAGTATCTTAAAATAATTACAATATAATATTAAACAAATTTTTATTGAAGTGTGTCCTAACGTGAAACATATTTTTGAACCTGTTTCTCTTGTGTTTGTTTCTTTCCTTCGGTGACGTGAAAAAAAAAGCGATGTAAAAAGAAAATATGAGGTAATTTAGATACGCGCTCTCTCTAAAAATCAATATAAAAGTGATTCAATCATCTTTCACTCTTATTAGAATTTATTTTTTTTCGTGTTTTGTGCACATTTTTTTATCTGTTAATTATTTGATCAACTTGTAGCAGGTCTTTTCACGCTACAAATTTAATTGGACGTCTTTTACCACAATTTTTAATTTTGTAGTTACCTTTGCATCTTAATTTAATCCTAAATAAATTCGACTAGGTAAATATCGTTAGGTAAATAAAGCATAGGATTCTATTAATTAATTTATGCGATAGAGCGTTTATAAAAAACCGGAAATTTTTGTAATCATAAGGAAGACATAAATAAAACATAATATTTTTGTTGAGACAATCAACTTTAAATTGCTTGCGAATAATATATAAAAATAAACAGATCAATTTGAAACAACCATTGTAATTAATCCGTATACGCTGTGCAAATAATTTCGACTTCAGTTGATATAACTGATCAATGCCTGTCTTTTCCCAAATAAAATTTCTCGAAAATTTCTCGCAAAGACATTATTGCTTTCTATCGTTTCCGCTTATGGTTTCACGCTTTCTAGAGACGATAATTATAATTTGTTGTAAACAGGAGTATATACATGATAAAATTTCCTCAATTTAAGAGGACAAAACATTCTATTTGATAAAAGCATTTTGCATGTTTTGCTTCTTTTAAATTTGTTTAGTTCAGTTGAGTTTGTTTGATTCAATTGAAATTTAAACCTTTGCAATAACAAACATACATCTATTTATATAGAAATTTTAATAGAACACCAAATGCAAATAAGTTATATTATATAAGTAAGTATTCTACAATTAAGAAAAATATAATTTTGATATTTTAAACTGTTAATAAAACATTACGTTAATTAAAATTAATTATTTATAAGACCGATAATACATATTAAAGTTTTTACTAGAAATGTCGCTTAAAATTAAATAATTCTGCCTTGAAATTAACATTTGCATTTATGAAATATTCGGAAAAAGTAAGATTCTAATTATTTTTAATTTTTTACACGCATAAGAACAATTGCTAATGTTAAATAAATAGATAAAATCCGGAGATAAGATTGTTGAATCTTTTATATAGATCTAATAAGATATATGACGTGTGTACATATTACTTACATAAATTTTCATATTTAAAATAATATCTACACGGTTTAAAGCGCTTTCTGTATAATAATTACATTGTATCATCAAATTATCAATTACAACATCAAATTGAAAATTATGTTTGTATTATAAAAATGGTGCGTGCAAATCAAGATATATCCTAAAAAATTTGTGTCCTGTGCAAATTTTATAGGTAATCTTCTTGATTTAGACAATCTTCCAATTTCGAATAATCAATTATGTTCTACAAGATCCATTGTTAGATTAATTCAATATTATATTCAACTAAAAATAATTTTAAATGCATGATTATGTACAAATAAATATATCGAAGAATCATAGAGAGTTAAATGATATTGTGTTATATTAATAAGAGTATATAAAATTTGAAATAATTTTCACAATTGTTTTATGATTATTTATTGTATCATTTTGTACATTAGGATATTTTTCTCCGTGATCTTCATCAAATTGTATAAAAGCATCTTGAAAAGTTCGCAAAAAACTATATAAAAATTTAGAATTGCATTTAAGAAATTGCACGTTGTGTGTAGAATTAGAATATTCTGTGATGCAACTATATAAAGTACTTTTATATCTCGTAGATTGAATAACTTTTATGACTCAATGTATTGTGCAGTATCAAGAGCGTTTTTGCTGTGACTTATAAGTGTCGGACGGCCAAGCGACGAAAGAATCGACGTTCTTTCGTAATTTTGAAGAACGCGTGTGACTATACGCGCCATGACGGTGATCGCACGCGTTGGCAGGTGCGAAACAGATGGCCCGATAATACAACAACCAAACACCTTGCGCGTTGCGTCGTCGCATCGCAAGCCCGGACATTCGCGTTGAAAAGGCACATCGTGTCGGTCAAAAGATCCGTTCCACCCCTCGTCATGCTTCATTCGATTTGATGACATTTCGTCGACCGCGATTCGAGATGTTACCATAAAAACTTTTCAAATATTTTTGGGATCTTTTTAGTGCGAGTGCTTTGTCGTGGTTGATAAACAAAACGGCGAGAATAAAATTTCGAAGTGACTCTTGTTGATCAAAGTAGCAATCATTGATTTTAATACTTTTCTTCACTTAGAATTAGCAGTTTTTCAAGTTTCTTGTTGAAAAATCAAGTCAGCAATCTTGTTATTTGTCAAACAAGATTTAACGACGTACATTTCGCAGCGACCTAATATTATCAGGAGTCGATCAAACCAATAGAATTCGATCTCCAGGTCAGTATCGAGCAGATCGAGTCTCAAACGATGATAGGCAAGTTGCTGGACTAACCTTGATGAAGCAATCGTTGAATGACAAGTTGTGCCTCAAGGAGTTCTGCCACCGTCGCGTGTCCTTTCTGTAGTATGGAAAGCGGTCGGCGATGAACTTGTAAATCTCGGCGAGTGGTAGCATCTTGTCTCTCGATGACCATATCGCCATCGCCGTCAGCGATATATAGGAATACGGCGGCTTCTGGTCACCATAGGTATCGCGCGAGGGTCGCGGCATCATCGACGGGTGGCGCGATCAATCGATGAACCGAAGGAGCAGTCCCTGTCACAACCTCACCGGGTCCTCTTGGGAACGAACGCTCTTACGCGTCGTCGCTCGACACTTTCCACGACATTCGCCGATACTCGCGCGTCGGCATCTTACGGACTGCTGCGAATCGCCAAGTAGCCGAGGACGTACCGGAGCTGCTTTCGGCCGCGATCGGAGACGGGAATCTCCATCGGACCCAGAAGGCAGAGGGATTCCGCGGCGCAGCGTCTCCCGAGGCGAGTGTTGGAGCTCGACCCGCGCTGTGCACGTCGCCACGTATGTTTCGCACAATATCACAATTCAGACAATTTTTGTTTCGCACTGTTCGGTGCGCGAAGCCGTCGATTCGAGCCCCTCGGGAGTTCACCGAGTTATTTTGCGAGTTCGCCGAGGCCCCGAGACACACGCAGACACACCGAGTACCCACGATCGCGTCTCCGCGGATACTGCGGCCGATCTATACCCACACCCCCGCAACGGGCTTCCCCTACCTGCGGCCCCGCGGCTACGCCACGTCCCGGATTGGAGACTGGTCGGTTGTCCGCGATCTCGACTGATCTCGGCTTTCATCTTGTGCGACCGCCTCCGTCCAATGGCACGGCGCTCTCCCCACCGCTGGTGGTTCTCGCAACGCGGAGGATGAAGGACGTCGTCCATTCATTCGAGCGGATGTGGTGGGCGGGCCACTATCGCGAATACCGTTTTAGGCCACAGCCCACGAGCGAACGAGAGCAACCGGGTATCGGCCAATCCGATCGTACGCGTCGCGATCACCCTTCGCGCATACGCCCATCGACGCTGTGCACAGTCCAACGGCACTGGTGCATTACCAACGAGCAGGACGAAGAAGGAAGACTCTTGTCTTCCGCGCGTTGCGAAACGCGGATCGATTCTGCGACGTGCTTTCGTTCCGAGGATTGAAACCAGTATAATTTCGTTGTGTCTAATCCTCGAACGGCGAAACATTTGGTAACCGCACAAATGGCGAAATCTAAATATGTTTCGGACCAAGAGTGTCCACAATTTCTTTCATATTAATCCGCAATTAATCTAGAATCAGTTTTCTTTATGTGATTTTAATTTTGTTAAATTTATATATTTTTTTTCTTTGACAAGATTAATAAAAACAACACGATTAGCCAAATGTTAGCAATAGTGATACAATAAGTTCGATCAAATTTAATAATTGTTAACATTTTGCTTACTAAGAAGTTAAATAAAATAAATAAGTAACACTCAAAAAAATGATCTTGCAATAATAGCTAAAATTTTCTAGGTGTAAAAAATTAACTAAAATAGATAAATGATTAGCAACTGTTGTGATATTGCATATGTAATTACTTAATCAGTTTAGATGACAGAAACAGAATATATATCTGTATTGTTTGTGAACTTTAAAAAGAAAGTTTCTCTAAAGCGCCTATCTATATAAGATCAATCACGTGTTAGATCATGCAATGAATAACATTTAGCAATGGTACCTAAATTTTTCAGAAGCTATTGCTAGAACATTACTGCTATAAATTCTATATGTGACAAACAATGTTTTCACAGATACGAAAAATAGCGATACATTCTTGTTGCGATATCTAGAAATCTAACTACATCAGCGAAATATTTTTTTGAGTGAATACTTCTGCACATTACGTTCTTCAAACTCATTCTTTGTACTTCTACAAAGTCATCGTTAGGCAATAGTCCAATATTGTTATGTAAACGAGTGAATTTAAATTTTGCCGTTTGCATAATAAATTATTATTTATCGAATATCTAACCGCTTTCTATTCATAACATAATTCAAATCAAAATACGCTATTATAATTCAACGGAAACTAAAGAAGTGCGAAGTATTATAAGTATTCTACGAAACATTTGCTTTCCACGACAGACATCGGAATCATGCAACAAAATAAACGTAAATATATGAGCAATGGAGTTCGCTGAACGAAAATCTATTTAAATGAATCG